CAAAACTGCATCTTCATTTCTGAAGTGACAAGAACTGAAAACGTGACAGTGAGTGACAGTCTTTGACCTAACAGCCAGGGTGACTGAAGGCAAATACCTGCCTCTCTCCTGGACCAGCAAAGTCCAACCATGCACACACTGCTGCTGACCTGCATGCCCAGCCCTGACTAGCTCCAGCAGATGAGAGCACTGGAGTTGGTTTTAACTTGTCCTTTCATTGCCCATTAACTCCACAGGCACAGAAGCCCTTACCAGGAGTAGCTTCTCTTCCCATTCCTTCTGGCACAGGGACTTCTCTGTGTTCTCTAGAAGAAAGCACATTTTTACACCTGCTTCTCATCTTCACTGTACAACACGCAGCAGGGGCAGAACGGACTACGGGGCTGACAAGCCAAACCGACCGCTCTTCAAACACACCGCGTGCTGTGGGAAACCCATGGCAACATTTGTCCTGTGCTTAACAGGGCCCAACAACCCAAGGGATAAGGGGAGTCCCATTAGGAATGAGTGGCATCAGGGTAATTAAAGTCCCTACTAAAATGGGAAAGAGACTTTTTCAACACCTCCTTAGGGAGCTTCAGTGTACTGAGGGTCATGACCCCACACGTGGGCAGCATCCAAACCTCGTTGCTCTGATAGCAGCAAAGCAGCCCCCATACAACCACACTGGGATGGCCAGGGAGCTCTTGTCCCAGGGGAGCCCATTCCCCTGCACCCCAGGGTTGCCACCTTCCCACAAAGACAAACTGACAGCCTGTGTCCAGAACACCAGGGCTCTCCAGCCTCACATAGGCATAGCCAAGCATGTGTAGTCCGGTTTGGGCAAGGTGCTTCCAGTAAAGTCTCTCCTGAGCAGAAGCCTCTTCCTACCTTCGATGTACTCCACTAAGGGAGGAACCTTCTTGCTCCAAAGTTGGTCGAGTGCAGGGTGGATACTATAGTGCAATACATTCAACAGGCGCAGGGCAGCTGTCCCCCGGCAGTCTCCTACATACGGCTGTGAAGATACAACCTGAAGATTTGGGGATGGAAGAGAAAGGCATCAGTGCAAAGAATGTAACGTCCAGGTTGCGAGTCAGAACATGAAACAAAACACAGCAATTCAACACTGGAAAGTGACTGGTTTCTACATCTCAACAAAACAGTAGCTCTCTCCTTTTGCTCTGGTTGATAGCAGAAGCTGCCCCTTCTCTTACTCCTTTAGGGATGGGGGAGAGGTGGGAGTGCTTTCTTTGGATGTGCCAGTAACAAAAGAAGGCAAGAGCTCTGCCTCCAGGCCACTTACCAGCAGTCTTGTAGTTATAGCATAGGGTGAAGGAAGATTTGCTACAAACAGAAAGAAAAAAAGCATAAGACAGCATCTCTCTCTGACAGCCCATGGAGCAGACTAGCAGCTGCCTGGTTCCCAAGCTTCCACAACACCAGGTCCAGCTGGGGAGATGCCAGTACTAACCATTCAGGTCGTAACGGATAAGGGATGCGTTTTCTCCCTCCTCTTGCTTCTTCATTGCCAAATACATGAGGCTCTTGCAGAGGGGAGTCAAGGCATTGGTGAACTGTATCGGGGTCACAAACTCCAAGAGGTACGGCCACAGCACCTGCCGGGACAAGGAGAGCACCTGCATTTACTCACGCTGCCAGCACAGGGCAGCACAGCAGACGCCTGGCTGCGATACAACGATCCAGAGGGAGGGGAGCAGGGAGATGGCAGGTCAAAGGCACTTCTGACAGGGGCAAAGCGCTCAAATCCCTGTAGCTGCAGAGGAGAGCAGATGTGGCAGCCTGGCGTACGGCACATCACACGGGTGCCCTGGGGTGAGCACAGACTCCAGGCACGCTCTGTGCAGACAGAGGCTCCAGGCTCAGCACTGACCACCCCCAGGCACGGAGAAGCAGCCTGGAGACTCACGTTGCTCATCCTGTCGACAGTTGTGCTAAGGAGAAAGAGCGTATTGACGCTGATGCTCTGGACACTGTCACTAGTGAAGTCATCGGCATCTGGCAGCTGCTTTTTGGGCTGCTGGAAGAGAGGGAAAGCACAGGTCAGCAAGGATGCTGCAGGCAGCCAAAGGCAGCCCAGAAGAGCTCAGCAAATGTGTTTCTCCAGCCATCGAGACAGCATGCTTGGCAAACAGCACGCCACAAGGATAAGGAACAGGCAGAACCACCTGGGCCAGAAACCTTCTCATTCAGGGCCTGCCTCCAGCACGGTTCTCCAGCCCCCTGCACTCAGAGCGTCTATGCAGCTCCTGCAGCCCAACTGATCACCCTTCTCCTGCTTGTAAGGGGAAAGGTATGATCTGAACACATGGATGGTTTTAGCCATGCCTGTGTCTCTGCAGGCCCAGCTAGACATACAGGGCTTGGCTTCAAGCCAACCAAGTGCTCACAGAAGGGAGCTACCCATATTGAGTGGGTACCGGCCTGCACCCCAGCTAGCCACCCGTGGGGTCAGGGAGCTGGCAAGAGCCAGAGATTGCACCTAGCACAGCCCTGCCACTCCAGCCAGCTTCCTCAGGAATCAGCTGGAGACAGAGACAAAGGGACAGCTGCCCCGACTGCTTCTGCACCGCTCCAGCGGGGAGCCTCTGCCCCTCTTTGCTCCGGAGGCAAGGACCCTGACGAGCCATCAAGGGAAGGAAGGGGAAGAAGCTATGGTGCTGCTGTGCAATGGGGAGCACTAGAGAGCTGGGATAATGGGGGTGGGAAGACAGACATGTTAAGGGCCCGAAGTGGGCAGAGAAGTGGGAGCATTTGTTCCAGCTACTCTGGTCCCACTGGGCCCTGCGGAGGGCTCGGGGTCAAGCATGCAGCACAGCCAGGCCAAAGGGCCGAGATGAAGCGAAGCATGTAGGTGCTGCAGCCTGCCCGCTGCACCTCTAAGGACAGCAGCAGCCCACAGCCAGATCGCAGAGCTCTGCGAGCTGGGCTGCAAGTCCAGAGACCTGGAGTCCGTCGCTGCCTCCACCACGGATCTGCCCACGCCGGTGCTGCAGGGAGCTCGATACATGGGTGCAGTTACAAGCATGGGCTTGCCACGCTACAGTGGGAGACTTGCCTAGTCCCTCCAGGGTACCTTTCTTTAGGAGTTTTATCCCACCTAGATGTGCTTTCTAAAAAGAGAAAGCGAGTTACTTCACCACTAGGCTCAAGGACAGCATGCCAGCAGGTCGGACCACTAAGAGCAAGAGCTGGAGAACCAGCCCTCACCGAAGCACTGTGCGTCAATCTGGAGACGAGAGCGCGATAGGTCTCCCACACCTCACAGGAGTCTTACCGCATCCGCGGGGAGCGCGCACTGGCGGATAAGGTATTCCAACATCATCTCGCCCCCGGCCTGCTCCAGGTAGCCGTGGTGAGCCATGGCGCTGATCACCTGCACCATAGCCCGCTTCACCTGCGAGGAAAGTGGTAGGCTGAGCATCAGTGCCAGCACTGAGGGGAGAAGCCAGGACCAGAGGAGCTTTCTGTCTGCTGCAGGAGCACCCTTGTCACAGCTGCCCTTCGCTCCTTTCTCCTTGGAAGAGGGGAATTCTATTACAGGTCCTACACACACCTAGACCTGGGGCTCTGCCAGCAGTAGTCAGGCACCCCCAGGACAGTGGGCTCAGCCACCCGCCTGCTCCCTTCTCCCAGGGCTGTCCAAAGGGGGATCTGACACCAGCCCAAGGCTGCACCACTAACCACACATGGCTAGTCCGGCAAAACAACCCTTGCGTTTTGCAAGCAGGACGTACCCTGTGCCTGCGAGCTGAGTCACCAGCAGCATTGCGGTCCAGCCAGAGTTACAGCTTGTGTTTACACTCGGCACTTCAGGCAGGGCTATGCTTCACAGCAGCAACGTTCCCTGCCAAAAAGGCCATCTACCTTGGGCATGCTCTATGTGACTTGTTTTCTCTGTCTCAGCCCTGTGTTAATGCAGCAGCATGCTCCCTGTTTAGTGGGGGATATCTTTGGGGCACGTTGTGGGCATTGCCAGAGCTCCAGACAGGAGGCAGAGCTGCAGCAGGAGGCTCAGGACAGCCATGCTGACAGACCCAGAGCACGTGCAGGCGGCAGGGGCAGGGTTGTGCCAGGCCCTGGACATAAACCCCAACTGCCCTGAAGCACCCAGCAGAAGGGCAGAATCTCTATTTACCTTATTGCTGCTGTCTTGCAGAGGAAGCTTCATAGATGCAAGAATAAAGGGCTTTTTAATCTCCATTTGAGAGGCTGAAAAAGAAGAAAGGCTCTGAAGCTCAGTGAAGCTCCAGCACTGACGAGGACAGACCAGCTGCTCCTGAAGCATCCCCCCTTCCCCAACAGGGATGGATTTGTCCTTCGCCTCCCTGCAGCTGGCTGGACAGCCAGAGAACGGTTTCCTCCTCCCCGACCTGCAGTCGAGGACAGATTCATCTTCTTCCCCCGTCACAGCTCTTCACTACCTGCGTAGTGGCAGTAAAGCCAGTTTAGGCGCAGCCAGCCTGCAAGGATCTAGCAACACTTTAAATTTGCTACTGGGAGCCAGCTAGGGCCCATTAAGGGGCACAAGAAAGGAAGGAGCATCCTTCTTTCTTGAGATCCCTGTCCAGGACCCCAGCCTGCCACATCGCCACAGCAGCCTCAGTACTCACAGGCACTGTTGATGATCTGCCTCATGATGAGGAGCGTCCCCACGCGGGTCCTCTCGTTGCTGCTCTCCAGCTTCGGGAGCAGGAAGGCCAGCACGCGGTCAGGGAACGAACAAGCTGCAAAGAGGCCAAACCCGCCGTTACAGACGTGCTTCGCTCCAGGGGCGACAACAGGCCGGTCGCAGGCAGCAGTGCCTTACGTGCTGCCTCAAGATTTAGGAGGCTCCGCGCCTCCTGCGAGGAGGACGTGTTCTGCCCCACATATCCCAACGCACAACCACAGGCTGCATGCCGCTACACGGGGCAGGGCTTTGCCTGCTACACCAGACAGCACGCGGTTCAGAAAGCACCGCTATTCCTCTCCTGGCTGACTGCAGCAGGCAGTTTTCCACAGAAGCAGTCTGCTGCAACGCCACTCCTCAACACAGACCTTAACTGGCCCATCCCATTCCTCACAAGCACTGCTACTTTAACCTTTCCTGGGCACTTTCAGTGTATTTCCTCTGCTCTCCAGGGAGGTGATGGAGTTTAAAATATACCTTTCAACAAGTACTGCCCCAGCTGTCAAAATATTTTGACAGTTAAAAATAAAAGTCAGCTTATGGATGCTGAAACTGGAGCAACACTCATGGGCGTTCAAGAAACATCTTGGTGGAAGGTGGCTGGTTCAGAGACGAGGCAGCCTGGAGACTGCTCAGGCAAAGGGAGTAGCAGCTCAAACAACTCAGCTGCAAGTTTCCCATGCACGAACGCTAGCAGTAAAGGGACATTACCCAACCGTGACTCAGCAGCAGCTTGTCACACTGCTGCTCTTTTCGTGGCAGTTGCACACACTTCTGTTCATGCCACAGGCAGTCTGCAAGGAGGGATATTTTGGAGAGCTGGGGAGGACGGGCTCCAGCTGCAGAGCTCCATGTACAGGCTGGGAACGTGCAAGCTATCAGTCAGGCCACGTCTCCCACTATATCCAGCCTAAACAAAGCTGCCACGAGGGACCCAGCTCTGCTCTGAAGGTTTGCAGTAACTCAGTATAACAATCCATAGAATACAGCAGCAGGGAGTACAAAGGGGTACTCATACAGCAGCAGGGTACGTTCAAAGTCAAGCTACATCTACTGCACCTTGTAAAGGCTCTGACCAACAAGTTTGAATGCTGCAGTACCTAGTTTTTGAAGAGAAGTCAAAGTAGCCCGACGTAGCTTAAAAAGCTCTGAAGAAACCTTTGTTAACTGAACTGGGCACCTTTGGAAAGGCCCTCCTATAAAAGCACGGTCAGGCCTGAGTTAGTGGGAACTTGGAGAGGGTCCAGCTGGCCCCATGCTCCACCTCACAAGAGCTGCAGGGAATGATGCTCTTACTGGATACAGGTTAGAGTCAGGATGGAAACCATCACCCTTCCCTCCCTGCCATCTCCCCACATGGCTGGCGGATGTCCTACATCATCCCCCAACACCAGTTCAGGCAAGGGGGTACAAAACCCTCCATTCACCACTCAGAACTGCTGGAAGGCTACAGGTTGCCCAGAGAGGTTGCAGAGTCTCCATCCTTGGAGACTCCAATTCAAAAGCTGTCTGGACAGGGTCCTGGGCAACGTGCCCTAGATGACCCTGCTTGAGCGAGGTGGTTGGACTAGATGATCTGGAAGAAGTCGTCGATGAGGCCTTCTATAGACAGCTGGAAGTAGCCTCATGGTCACAGGCCCTGGTTCTCATGGGAGACTCAGGATGCCTCCAGCAGGTGCATACAGCCAGGGGAGATAGCATGGAACATGGCTACGGAGGATCCTCTTGCACCTCTCCTGGGGAGCTTGCATGCTTGACTGGCTCTCTGAAATGCCTGTGTACCAATGCACGCAGCATGGGGAATAAACAGGAAGAGTTAGAGATCTGCGTGCGGTCGCAGGGCCATGATCTCATTGCGGTTACAGAGACATGGTGGGATAGTTCACA